GGGGGCATCCCACCGGTGTTGGGCTCTCCTCCCGAGTCTGTCATCCAGGCAGCGGGAGCTCCGGTCACCGCCAGCCAGGCCCCCGCGTCGCTTCTACAGCAGCCAGCACCTCTGCCTCCAGCCGCAGAAGTGCAGTCTGGTCCAGAGCTCTTGGCAGCAAAGGAGGTTGCCCCCTTATTAGCCAAGGAAGAAGGGATAGAAGTCACTCCACTGCCCCCTACCAGTACAGCAGGAAGCGTTGCTGCTTCTGCCCGGGATAAGCATCAGGAAGATATTGAGGAGCTGGAGACCAAAGCTGTGGCTTTCTCCCCAGATGGTCGTTTTTTGAAGTTTGACATTGAGATTGGCAGAGGCTCCTTCAAGACTGTCTACAAGGGACTAGACACTGAGACCACAGTGGAGGTTGCTTGGTGTGAGCTGCAGGTATTGAAGTGATAATTAGCTTTCTGATGCTGAGTTGATAGGCCTAAGAGAAGGGTAGTATTCCTATAAACTGTACGTGGAAGATAATTTTCCAAACTTTTATATAGCCTATTTTTATGTGTGTGGTAAAGTGATTTAGTAAGCTTCATTAATTTTAACTCCTAGGTTGGAATTCAGTTAGTTTCTCTCTGTGATGAAAAGTGTCTGTCAAGGGAGTAGATTTTCAGCAGTTCCCTTTTTATTTTGCTAGGCTCTGTGTCTCTCCTCCATTTGCTTCAGATATTAGGTGACCACATGGAGCAGGTTTGAACGGCTTTAGGAAGGAAATAGAATTGCTAAAAAACCATCTTCCCTTTTTCTGCTGATGGAAACCTGGCAGTTGAGGGAAGCTAATTGAATTCTTCCTATCATATATGTTAAGGCTGTACAGAAATATTTAAATCAGGAGCTGAATATAATTTTTGAGCTTTGATTTTGTTAATAATTATTCTGTGGTATTAGAACTGTATTTCAAGGAAGTTTATATAGCCTGAACCTTAGTTGCTGTGTTGGAATTGAGGTACTTGATTCATTAATAGCTTTGTGAAAGAAGTAGTGAATCTGTATCAAGATTCAAGATGCAATTATATTTTCTGCATTGTTCACTTGTTTAATTGCTAATTAAAGTATATGCTGTACACTTTTGAGTGAGCAGTGTTATAAAAAGTTATGTTCAAATATGGAAGTTAAAACTGCCTTTTTAGAAAGCATCTTGTTAATCATGATTGACTGGGTATAGAATTCTCAGGTTGAATTAAACTGTTTCAGGGTCAGTATTTGAAACAGGCAGAGTAGATCAAATGTGGTAGGCAGAGGGGAGAGATGGAAAGGCTAATGGATGATAAGGATAGCCAACCATTTGATCTAATTGTAGCAGTTAGAATGGCTGTTCACAGGTTTCTTCTCATATTTCCCTTTCCATAATTCCATAAACCTTCTATACAGTATTTGGATTGATTTCTAAGTGTTGATTTACATATTATGAGTCAAGTGTTCGGATAAATTAGCAACATCTGACTTGTGGCAAAAATTTAATTGCAAATAGGCCATAGGTTTTTTAAAAAGGCTTGCTTAAAGTGAAATAATGTGCTTGTTTGCTCTATAGTAGTACTAATCTCTTGAAACAAATTGGTTATTTGACATTAGGGTTTGTATGCACTAGTAACTTGCCTGATGTTTGCTATATTTTGCTTTGTTGTTAATCACAGTTGGAGCTTTTTTAGAGTAAAGGAAGATGTCCTTTGAAGCAGGAATCAAGTGTGCAGATTGACAGTTTCTGTGGAATACCATTTATGCCAGTTGATCACAGGGTAATTGCTTGGGGGCTGGTTTGGGGAACATAACAGATTAAGAATCTGTGTGCTTGCTTTTAATGACTTGGTGAAACTACTGGTGGATCTAGTTTACCTGAGAGCTTGATCATGATGTAAAAAGTTTGGATTTTAGATGAAATTATGTTTCAAGATAGATTAATTTGTTATCAAACAACTTAAATTGGTCGGAAAAAATATGGTTTATCTCTTAGGCTTTGAGATCTTGTTTGAATTTTCAGTTTATTTAACAATATGAATTACTTGATATGTATAATTAGAATTGCCGCCATACTTATGGATGAAAGCAAGAAGAAAACTGAGATGTTTCTCTATATTACAAACACTACAATTTGACTATAAATCATTTTGAAATACCAACACACTTGCTCTACTTGTATTCCTGCATAGGCATTGGCCTTTTACTGTAGCATTCAGCAAGCTTTATCTTGAGAGAATGATGGAACTAAATAACTTTTTTTCATCAAGTACTTCATAATAGGAATGTCAAATCATATACTTTCACTTCTGCAAGTACAATATCCTTTTCATTCCTTTAAAAGTAAAAGCTCTTTTGAAGGCTGTGGAAGAAGAGATAAAATGTATGAATCTATTGAAGGTTTAAAATTTCTATTTATCTGGAAAGGATTTAAAAATATATTCTTTTAAAAAATGGGTTTCAAGATACATTATTTGTAGAATGGTCTCAAATGTTTTATTTATTTTTTTAATTTGTGTATATAAAACTGATGCAATCCTGAGACCCTCTTGATTTGGCTGCTGAATTTTGGCAGTCTGGCAGCATGCTATCCAATTGCATCATCAATGGTTGAAAGGGTTGTATCAAAGCTTTTTTGGGTTTATATGGTATGGACTGTGGGTGCCAGATGCAATATGAAAAGTAAAGTTGTGTGGGGCAGGTTTGAGTAGTTTCCCACTGCTAGAGCAAGAAGCAGTTTCCAATATGATCCTCGCCTCTTTATTAGTGCCTTTTTGTTCCCTTTTTGCCCCTTCCTCTATATTTTGCTCAATTCACCTACAGTAACTTCTGTGTAGGTGAAATAGGTGTAAGTAAATTATTCTTGCCTCAAAAAGAAAAAAGAGGGAAAATGCTATAGGCATCTCAGAGTCTCATTCACTGTCTATGTATAATTTCAGGTTACTCTTGATTCCATATGCATTGCTATGAAACGAAAGTGGGTGCATAATGGGAGGCTCAGTTCTTCTGAAATCTCAATCTCTTGGCTACCATGGACAGCTTCTGAATGGGCAGTTACAACCCACTCAGTTTGTACACTGCCCAGAGTCCATTGGAGTTGGGTGACTATAACAAATTTGAATAAATGAAATAAAAAAATATCATCATACCCCACCCCTAGTGGGAACTTTTCACTTTGCAGTCCTGTTTCACTGAAATCAGGTAGAATGCAACATTGCTACTTATAGATTGTAGATTCATAATTGGTGCAAGTGAGGTAGTAGACTCTGCTTCCCATCACTCCCTTGCAGGCATTGTTGGTTTTCTTTTGTAGCTGAATTGTGCAGGAAATGGGTGAGAGTCCCTTTGCAACACAGCTGAGATGATCAGGGGGAAGAACGCATGTGCTTCTGAGAGGTTTGAAATTATTTTCATCTGAGATATTGCTTTATTATTTTAAGTTTGGAAATCTGTTGAGATATGAAGTGATTCCTTCATATCAAAATAATATTAATATTAAATTAATTGCATTTAAATGTCTGTCTCAACCAATTTTTTGATCTGGCCATAATCATCTTTTGGAATGCAATATAATTTATGCTGCTTAAAAACTAAAACAGTCTTCAAGCCAAATATATTGTGTAGCACTGACTTTTAAAGTTAATGCCATTTAGAAGTAGCTTATAAAAACTTGGAACTGTAGGTAAAATCTTATGCTATACTTTTCTACTGATGAAATGGAGGATAGGCATACCATGTAGCCACTTATGTAGTTTCCACATATAACCTTAAAATCTCCCCTGGAGGTCCTACATTGCAAATCAGGGTTTTACATGGGGACTGCTGCAAGTAGAAGAGGAGGAGAAAGTCCCATTGCACTATTGGAAACTGGCTAGCTGAGCATTGAGACACACGCAGGAAAAACTGTAACAGAGTAAAGTAGTGTAACATAAATAATGTTAAATGTATTAAAAATTTACCTTTTTTATCTTATACAGCTAAATTTACTAACAAACTACATGTTAAAACTTTTTCCACACTTGCATTCAAAAGATTGCTGAAATACATCAGCATGTATGTATACCAGGACATACAATATAAAGTAGATGGAGCTGTGGTAAAACCTATATTTAATTGAATTGAATTTGTCAATAAATTATTTACAGCTAATATGGGTACTCCCCATGGTTCTGATAATTTTTTTCTATCACATTAAAAATTTTCTCTCTCTTCAATTTCTAAGGTCACCCATTTGCCAAGCAACTCAGGGCAGTTTACAAAGTGGATTAAAACCATCAGGATACAAAACTAAAGAATCAAGATAATAAAACAGCTAAGCCAGGGCAAGAGAAAATTCAAACTATATAACATTCTAACAGGTTCAAACATCATGGTGGCCCAGTACCGGTGGGAAGAGCCAAGTTTTTAAGGGCTTCCTAGAGGACAGCAGCCATATAGAATGTTAATTGAACCCAATATCTTGGGAGGAACACCTAAAGTCTCAGATTCTTCAACTCAAATTACTTTATGATATATTAATATTTAGAATGCTTCCTCAAATAATTTTATAAAGTTATGTGTTTCAGATGTGAAAAGAGCTCTTTGTGTTTGGATGAGTACTTACTCTATAAGCAAGTAATTTTTTAGGAATAATTATAGTTGCTGGCAGACAAAAATCCTCTACTATTCTTATCTCTATATATGAAAAAGTGTTAGTATTTTGAAAATAAATGGATTCCAGTATCCCAGGATGAAAATTATGGTGAACTCTTAGTTTGCAAAACAGCATGTATTGGGAGTGGATGGTAAATAAGTCCAGTACATTGCTCTGCTTCAAGTATATGCAAGGTGTTTTAGCTGTAGACATACCTAGAATTTCAGAGAAAATGTTATGAATATCACTAAAAAAGATACTAAGTTCTGTACAGCAGTAAAAACACATTTTGGAGAGAGACCAACACTTACAAGACCAATAATGTGTCTCTGGTTTCTACAGGCTAAATTTGTAAAATATTAAAATGGCATTTAATTGTTCAGTAATATTGAGGGGTACCTTTAATAATAAATTTATCCTTGAAAGGTAGAGAAAAAGAAGTATACAGTTAATTCTTTTTCATGTAACTAAAATAATGGGTACAGCCAATAGTGCTGATTTTCATTTTTATTGAATAACTTTTTGGTGAAATTGAAGAGTATGTTCTTAATTCGTATGTGCAGAAAGCACATCTATGAAGAAATTAGCTACTTGGTTTGAGATATAAGCCAGTACTTTTTTATAAGAAGCAGAAAATTTAATCTGCCTGCCAGAACTGAGGATTTCCATTAAAATCTAAAAACCTCAGTTCACTTGCATGGTGCATTTGATAGTTAACAACAGCTAAATGAGACCATATAATATTATTCCTGAAAGCACTAGTTGGCTGCTGGGTCCAGTTTAATTGTTGAAATAGCCTATAAAGCTATAA